CCTTGGCTTTCTTTCTTTCTTTTGTCCTTTCCTTTCTCCCTCTCTGCTTTGTGTCAGTGAGGACAGCTGGATAAGAAATGGATCGCTGGTAAAGGGACACAGTCTCCATCACAGACATGACCTCACTGCCTCCATAAGCAACCCACTGGGAGCTGTTTGTGCTAGAATTCAATGCTGTGTCCTTGTGTGTGCACACGTATGTGTGTGCGTGCACGCAAGCGGCATCTCGGTTGTCGTTGCGATAACCCATTTGTGGCTGGTGGTTCAACCACCGACATGTCGTTCTGCTTTTCTTACTCATATGGCAATAATAGTTTGAAGGGAAAATGTAGGTAGCCATGGCTATAGTCATTGATTGCAGGACACATTTGTGTGGCTATCCACTGACGGATGCAAATCGTTAATAATTCAATAAAGAATCTGACTTATGATGCAAATCTGAACGGCATCTTGTATCCATATTTCCTTGATACTATTAATCAAAGAGGGATGTGCCAGGACTGTCTTTCATAAAGTTGATGTTTCAATAAATCCACGGCAGACATGTCATGGCTTTTGGGCCGTCTTGCTTTGTTTTCAGATCCACGTTGAGGTATCGATATTTCTTTACATAAGCACTGGCCACATTGTGAGGAGTGAAAAATGATGTCACCGTCTCTAAAACATCCCCTGACGCCACATTGACTGAGAGATGCGAACACGGGGCTGCTGTCAACAACTTGAGTATTCCAGCTTTGTGCAGGAGGAGCCCAGTCTGCATCGGGAAATCGTTCCCATAAACTTTACAATACCAACTGCATGCTTTACCGAAACTAATGTAAAGGTTAGGCCATCGATATCACCCACCTCACCCTCCCATAGGTTCATATTAGTCTGCTGCTACGTCCACTGGGCGTGGTCCCTCGCCCAAACCTACTCCAATCAATTCCAAAACCAACAGACTTTTCGAGAAGCATAAAAGGCGCTTGTTCACTGGGAAAACTACTGGACCGGCCCATTGACTGAGTTCACGGGGTTGGTCATGAGCAGACAAGTTGCTAATAAAAGACACAAAATAAGATGTTTAATAATCAGTGTTGAGCAGGAGCTGATCCCACAACCTGTAGAGGTCATCCAAAGGAAGCAATAAGTCCAAGCCCTGAAGACAGACTCGGCAGCTGGCATGAGATGTAGACGCTCCTTGGTAATGAACTCCGAGAGCTTCCCGGTGAGTTATTCTCATAACTACTCACTTCGTATGCCCTTCGTAGAACAGGACGGAAGCTTATGCCCAAATTAGTCATCAGTCAAGTAGAGGCCCTTTGTCCAACTGTCCCCCATTGGTCTGTCAGAGAAGAACTGGAGTGTATACCTCACATTTTCCCTTAAAATCAAAACAGAAACCCCCAGACAGAATTAAAAACTTGGTTGGTTGGCCATAGTACTTTTGTGGGGGACAAAATGCTGTGGAGGTTATTGGGACTGTCATCTTGACAAAGTTATCTTCCTTGCATTATGGCTGTAAACGGAGTACCCACAACTCGATTCACAGAGATGGATTCCTCAGCCATCTCTTCGTGACCCTTGATGTCAGTGGCTCTGCCAGCAATAATCCTTCATGCACCGAGAGTCTGTCCCTTTGGATTCTCTTTTTATGTAGTAATGTGCTTGATAAGCATTTCTTTGGCTGCCCCTTGCCAATACTGTTGGTGACTGGTTTGCTTTACAGTGCTCTGGAGTTAGAGGACAGGTTCCCCATGCAAGGTTTGAAATAATCCTCCACACAATAGCCCATTCATATATGGTATTCCAGTGAAAGTGTTTAAATATGAATTGAAAATGATTGAATCTATCATCTGGAGTGGAAATGTTTGGATCACACAAGTGGGAAACAATATGCAGCCACCACTTGAGTCTACTTCTACAAATAGTATAATACAAATAACAAGTGCAACTAGCCTGATTATGATGAATAGGCATCGCGAAAAGCCAAACAAAAATCTATGTAGCATTTAATGTTGATTCAGGATGCAGGTTACAAAAGAAGCTTCAAAGTATTTTGTACGAGCCTTCTTTCCTTTGTGTTAACTGATGAGGAGCAACGGTGTTTATTAGTTGGAGAGTGCTGATTTAATGTTGGCCGTGGTATATTGTGCAGAGAGGGGAGGGTCTTCAACGTGCCCATGGGCCCCCAGCCAAGTATGTGCTTCTGGCTATTTGGTTACCTGTTGCTGGCTTCTCTTGGGTTTCAGGAAATCAGGTTGTGGATGGTGGTGGTGTATCAGTAATGTGAGTGAAAATAGGGATTCATCTGTGTCTCTCTTGTTCACTCACACAGCAGGCTTCACCGTACGCAAAGGATCGTGTTTGTAGAAAGACGCCTGCCACCTGCTTTTAAGGCCAATAGTAAATGAAAAGCACCAAAAGTGCTTGAGTTCTTCCCAGTCCAGTACTTTGCTGCTTCTTGTTTCCCTGTAGCTCTGCACAGGGGATGGTTGCGATCAAACAACTCACAGGGATTAGCAGGAGCACTATTACCGTGCATTTCTTTCTGGCAGTAAATGGAACCCACCTCCTGTTTCCTGGAGAAGTCCGATCCTGCCTGCTGTCAGAGTTTATTTTCCTCTTGAATGGCACCTCTTTCATTCACATGGCAGCAGGAAGCTAACAGCTAATAAATCTCTTCTACTAAGTGAGCTTTTCCTTTCGCTGCTTGCAAACAGCAACCCGGGCTAATTTATAACCAGAGGAGGTATGGGGGAGAGGCTAAAATGGTCGGTACAGGTCGGGCAGGTTATCTTGCGACCTGTCTTCACCCGGCATAAAGGACAACCAACAACGCCAAATGAGTATTATTTAGAAACACATAAAATATGTCTCCTTAACTGGTCAATTAACATGGTGATATTTCTTAGTTAATTTGGAGTGTCTTCATAGTGTAACTCTCACAGTTTTGATGATTCTCTATATTTCTCATTATATTATATTATATTTCTCAACCTTTTTATTTTATCACTGATAACATGGCAAATAATTGCTGTCGGTAAAGTAATTTGACTCTAATGCGCCTTCAAAACTGTCCTAATGTTAGTGGGAAAGTGACCTGATCCTGTCTATTATTCCTTTGTCTTCACTCAATAATTTAACAATTATGCTTTATGATTTAAAATAATGAGTTTTAATAAATTAAATTGACTATATTATATTTAAACAGTGAAAGAAGGTCTTTATTAATAAGTAATTCATAAATGTATGTTGTATTTCTGCCGTTGTCCCGTTACACAGCTGAAACAGAAGGCTACTTTACCACAGTGACGTCATTAGGAAGGAGTGCAGCACTGCTTCATTAGCTGCTGACCCACACGCCCCAACCAGAGAAGGAGATCCTTCATGGGTCGGTATCAGTGGATTTAGAACGGAGCAGTGAGTGAGATCCTGAAGATCTTCCCAGCATGCTTCGTTCGTTAAAACTGCACCATGCTGCATTAGAGAGCACGCTAACAATGCAATCGGAAAGGTCCAACTTTTTTTGTCTCAAACATAAGCTTTCACAGGAAGAAGGGATTCGGTAATGGGGGCCGAGACATTCCCACATTACTAAGATGTCTAATTAAGGGAGCGAGCGGGGTCAAAGCCATCGAGATAAGCCATCGAGGTGGGACATGCAAATTACTGCTTTCCAGTTCAATTGCTGACTCCCTCAACTTAACTGGATACGCGTCACCTGATACATGCGCACCAGTTCTTTAAGCCATTCTGGGGGAGGAGAAGAATGGCCGTGGTTTCTCTCAATCAACGGTGCAAACCTTTGAGGAACGTTTGCTCCACAGAAAATAGTATTTGAGTATTTGAATTCAAGAAAATTCTATTTTATTTTATATATATTATCGGTCGAGGGACACGTTTCTAGGGGGCGTGTGTGGTTTTTAAAAGATAATTATCTCAGGCAATGATATGGGATGATATATACAAACCTAGTGTAAAACATTTTAAAATACTTTATGTAAAATGATTAACCATTTCTTATGTAATATGATAATCAATGGAATTTATGCAGAACATAGCTTGCAAGATTATAAATGTACTACTAAAATCTACAATATCTATTCAAATAGAAACAAACAACCAAACAAACGTGAAGCCTTGTCATATGTATGCAAATCCAAGAGGTTTCTCTTATCACATATATAACGGAATAAATATTTATATATGACACCATTAAGTCACCCAGCAGTGAAGCATGAGTTTGCACCGTCAGCAACCTCCAACATGACCTGTTTCTACGGCAATGAACCAACTGCTAAAAATCTCCAAAGAGCACGGCTTGCCAAAATATGGTATCATGTGGCGAGGTGTTCTGGGCCCCACTTGCATCCTTTTTATTAAACAACCCCTCTGCAATGCATTTCTCATCTTCTATGTCACATTGAGCTTTTAGATGAATATGTATAACAAAGAGCGTAACATTTATGTCCAAACAAACTACGATGCTCGGTATCCCAGAACTTCACTCAACCACTCAGAAAAAAAGTTCAACCGCTGAGCAACTGATCGGCTTCGTCAGCAAAATGAACGGCAACAAAGCCAGCTGAAACATGCAGTCCCCAGGTTTTGATGTTCTATAGTGAAAATGTCCTAATAAAAGAAAGAAGAGAAAGTGTTTGGAGCCATTGTAAAGCCTCCCATTCTATTCAACCCCTCGAGATCCCCCCCCCCCCCCCCCCCCCCCGTCAGCATCCACTGTACCTCGAACCTTAAAACTTTTGGTGCAAATACAAAAACGCACAAAGCCCCCTTTCTATTGCCAGAGCTGACTAATTCAGTCTGACAAATTTAAGGGAAGAAAAAAGGATCAAAAAGCAAACAGCGTCCGGCTGTTCAAACCCCAAACAGGCAGCACATGAATCACGAGCAACGAGGGACCGGACAACAGGGAGGATCTGTGCATGTGGAGACTCCACAGCACAACTTCCCGCGAAAGAAAAAGTACCAAGAGAGAGAAGGAGAGGATCATTACTTACCGATCCAAGTAGACCCCGACATCCGAGCCTGAGAGTGACACATTCCCCTCTTGCCTATCCCAGGTCCATTTCTCTCAGCTCCCATATGGCACCCCCACCCCTCCGAGAGGCAGAGAGAGTGCGACGGAGAGAAGGTCAAACACACAGTGTGACGAAGAGAGAGACGGTGTGGGGTGGGGGCGGGGGGGGGGGTGGCGGGCACTGGTGCAGCTGTGCGCCACCGTCAGTATCTCCTTCAAATCAGGTCCTCTCCTTCATGTGTGTCTGCAGCTCCACTAAAAAAAACAAACAACGGAAACAAAGTGATCCTCTTACACACAGCCTGGAGAAGGAGAGCGGGAGAGACGGAGCGGGAAGGACAGGAAAACAAGTGAGCTAGTTAGGAGGCCGAGGCAGCTGGAGAATAGCAGGTTCAAGTTTTCAGCGCCCCCCTCTACTGTGTCGTAGGAGGGGGAGGGAACAAGCAAGAGCGACTAGAAAGCCGAGGAAATAGTGCATAATACCTTCCAGCTTCTTTCGACCCCCACCTCTCGCTCCCTGTCTCTGTCTCTCTCACACACACACACACACACACACACACACACACACACACACACACACACACACACATTCTCTCTCTGGTAACATGCCTGGCTGTAACAACCCCCTCCTCCGAGCACAGGAATGCAAGGCAAGAGTTTCAAGAGGCCCAGTTAGACAACCCTCAGAGTCACTGCACCTTGACACCCAGGTCAGCCTCTGAGTGTGTGTGTGTGTGTGTGTGTGTGTGTGTGCACGCACTATGAATAGAACAGTGATTGGAGATGAGATGGGACAGAACTCAATCAATCCCAAAGGGAGGCGTCAAAGAAGAATTTATAACAAATATTACACGTACAACGTGCAAAATAGAACGTCAATAAGAGTAAAATAAATAGCGTAATAAATAGATTAAAATCCCAAAAGTAGATTGCAGTAGCGTTTAAACATGCAAATAAGCAGTGCCTAATATAAATAAACTAATATTGTGCATGATTATATATAAAATACTTTACTTTTCTCGTTATGTTACAGGAAGGTCGTGAAGACGAACAACACACGTGTAGCATTGGTGTCCAGGCCCCAGCTGTGCTGCTACCATCAAGTGGGCCTAATGAGGCAACGCTTAAATGCTTACATAACACAGAGGTTTTATAAATCTGCATATTTTGATTGAGGTTGCAGAACAAGATATTGTTTTGGTGATGGAAAATATCTGGACAACTGTTTGAATACGTACTTATAGGAGCAATAAAACTGTTTGACTTAAGCCTAACCTCTCTTTTGTAATTTAATACATGTGTTCAGTCAGTGCTTGTAACAAAAGGTATACAAACCAAATATTCAATGTGTTCAACCAGTCCCAGGGAAATAGTTAACATAAATTATGATTTTATTTTTTGAATTGAATAAAGATCTCTGATATTCGGTACATGTTATTGTAGGTAATTGTAGGTAAATTCTTATCATATCATTATCATATCATTTTATTTTTCACTAAAATGTCACGGCTAGTACTGTGCACGGCCAAGCGTAATATGTACATGAATGTGAACCATTAGTGATGCAAGAAGAAAAAGGTCAAAACTGTTGACCTAGACTACTGCTATTATCAAACCAATTGACATCCAACAAGAGTTATTGCTTTTGATTTAAGATCTATTGAGATCTCTTGGCTTGGCTAACAATGAATCAATCAGGACCTTGTTTGTGGTCATTGGTGAAGGGCGAAGTGCACCCTGGGCCGACATCAACTGCTTTCACTGGCTTCTTCTGCTTATTCATAAAGCATGTGGTTTAGACACTTCTACTCACCTCTACTTCAAAGTGGTCCGATTCTCATCTCTATAGCAGACAAGAGCAACTTTGAGCACTTTGTTCTAGTAAAGGAATGCTGTCCAAATATAAACTTGTATTTATTGGAAATATGTTTGCCGTCAACGAATAAAAGATGCAATCAGGGCACAAAGGTGTGCTTATGCTAACCGTCCCGTTGGTTGTATTATTCTGCAAAATAAGAAAGAACACAAGTGACCCCAGAAGAGCCCTTGACACCCCCCCCACCACCATGCCTCGGAGGACTTATAATTAAGTGCAAACTCATAGCTCATAGGCATGCACTATTTAATGCCTTTATCAAGATTTGGCTGCAAAATATTTGATCAAATGTAGATTTTTAGAAACTACTGTTTCTAAAGCAGGTGTCAAACTCAAGGCCTGCGGGCCGAATCCGTTATTGTGGTAATAACAGGAGCCGGTTTGGAGGACACACCTGATCTATCCTTTGCGACCCAGCATATCCCAGCCCCCGACCCAGACTCTCACCATGTACTGCTTCTAATGAATATCAATGTACCAAGACACATTTATAACAAATACACAACGAGCCGCTGCGCTGTTAACGGCAGCTCGTCACTTTAATGACTTAACCATCACACTTTAGAGGTTGACGCTGTGATAGTTTATACTTCATTTTATGAACAGAAATAGATCAAAGTCAACCCGGGCAGACAAGTTATGAACATGAAAAATCACTTCAAGTCAGTAACGTTACAGAACAAATACACAAAAAGACTTAACTTGCACTGGTCCTTTTGTGGTGTGATTATGAACCAACTTTACATTTAGAGTCAGGAGGAAGCATCAAACTGGACAACAATGTGTGTCTATTGACATTAAGCTACTGCAGCGTGGACATAGTCTGTAATATTTTACAGTTAAAATAGCTTGTATCCTATGCAAGAAAAAAAGTCCTTAATAAATGTGTTTGCTCTTGTGTTTTTTAAGACAACATTGATGGGATCTCTCCCTCTGCCTTAAGACTGCAATATTACTTTTAGCTGAGGGTAATTATAAATTAGAAAAGTATTAACTGATTTAATTTGAATTTAAAATAACGGGAAAATGTTCTTCTCTCAGTCTGAAATATATCATGCTCTGGAGGAAGAAGCGTATCTTCCTAAATTAAATGAAATAAAAAAAAGTTTATCTTCTTTATGTGAACTTTATACGTTTTTTGGCTTTTAAGGCTTTTTTCGCTAGGCAATGCTGATGACGGAAGCAGGAAGTCCCCCCGTAGGCCAGACCGTCCCATTTCAGAGCCCATTTCAGTTCAGCCTATGCGGTTGTTGCAGGACCAAGTCCAAATCTCCCGAGAAGGCTGCTGAAGGCTACAAGGACGCAGCCTATCGTACTTGTAGAGGCCCTAACTATTTTAAATGTACTGTTAAAGCCACTAGGGCGAACGTGGGAGGGGGGGGGGCATGTTCGGACCCGTGTTCTGCCATAAACAATTTTCACTGTCCAGTGCGCTGTGTGTCTTTTAGTCACTTGAATCCGTGCTCCGCATACAATAACCGATGTCACCTTCCTTGCATTGCATTACGTTTGTCGGTTACAGGCACCACACACATTAGACGCCACCTCGTTGACACGACACGTTGACACCTGCAACACGGTCAAAAACTCTCTGCCTCATGTCTACACCTGTTCCCATTAGCGGGCACTGACTTATATGCATTTTACTGGTAATGTGCCACCATGTGATCAAATGTAGGAACTGCATGTCCCTCGCTGGTTCCCTCAAGATAAACGAAAGCAACAAAACCTGCATTCCGCTCCGACAATACTCTTTTAAAAATCTGATTATTTTACCATGATCACTGTGGGGGGTTTAGTTAGTGAGCTTCATACTGTCTGTCGACAGTATTTTAAGACACTCATACACTGTTACTGTCATGTAACTGTTTGCCAGGATTTCCTTGAGGTCAAACGAAAGGCCTTCTCCATTGTCTCCTCCAACAAGTACCTGTCGGCCGTTCTCGGGGGCTCCTGGATCAACGGAGCACAAAAGCCCTTGTTGAGCAAGATGAAGGTTTGCTGGTTGCTGCCATGAAAGGCACCAATGGCCTTTTGAGCACAACTCCTAGCAGCAGTTTCCACAAGGGAGGGTTTGAACATGGTCCACCCAGAAGATGCACAGACATTTCTGTTGGAAAGGAACCTCAGCCTGAATTCCTAGTTGACAACACAATAGGGTTTACTTGGTCACCCCCCCCGCCATATATTTCTTGATATATTCTTAGTGCCTGATTCCTATTGCCATTAGATTAGACCCACATTTTCTCTGCAGCAGCTTAAGTTGGGGCATCCATAGAAAGTTGGTGGGGCTCCATCTCCTGCACCAGCTCCAGTTCCTTCCGTGCCAGGGAGGACACATCCCATTCCAGGTGGGAAAGTCAAATTCCACCAAAGCCACTACAGGGACATTGCATATTTAAAGAAAAAAGAAGTTAAAAAGGAAAATAACACAGAAAGATAAGTCCACATATATAAAAGGAAGGGAGATGATAAAAATAGTTTCAGAGCAGGAGTGTCAACATAACCATAGAAACTCACTACAGGAGGATTTAGTCCGAGCAGCATACATGGCAATGAAATACAGTATATTTAAATATATTTATTGTGTTTCCATTCCCTTTTCTAGACACATTTTTAGAAATGAAGTCACTAGGAAGGTCTCACAAGTCCCTAAATCTAATAAGAGTCGCCCGGTTGGCCACACTGCCAGAGCTTCATCCTGTCGCCGTCTTATCTCGGCAAACACATGCTGGGTTTTTTCCACACGTGCTGTTCAAATAAACACCACACCGTCCACTCTTTGTGGAAAGAAACTGCTGGCTCTTTAAACTTTTCTGAGCCGACTCTTCGAGAGTCCCAGCGTCTGTGATTAGAGAGAACGAGGAGTGGTGAGAGGGATGGGCGAGTATGAGGTGACCTCACTGCTCTCTCTCCCCCTCGTCTTCGAGGTCCTTGACAACGCTGAGCAGACTGATTCAGAAATGGGTTTAAAACTAAACAAAAGCAAGTGACAGAAAGCATGTCCAGTTTGGAGGTTTGGGTTAACTCAAAAATAATGAAAAAGTGCAAGCAGGGAGCTGCTCATTCCCCAGCAACCGTACCAACAGCACCAATACAGTCAATCCCATGAGAAAAGATGCTCAGCATCCCTCATTACCACCACAGGTTGAGGAGTGTCGCCCTCGCTGACGTTCCCAAAGAAGCCGATCTCAGCAGCTTGATGGCAGCTGCCGGCTTCCAGTAATGAGGCAGTCAAGCGGCCACCTCCTCTTTTGTTTGACCGCTGATGGAAATCTTGTTCGGGCCCAGCTGCATCACCATGGAAGTGGCACCTTGAGAGTCCGTCTCCTCCCCCCTCTCCCCCCCGCTCACCTCAGATCCTTTCTCCCACCAAGTTTTCTCATCACAGCCCCGGTGGGAGGCGGTAGCTGCTGTGAGACACCAGCCCCTGGCACAAAGCCCAGATGGCATTTGTCTCCCTGCACAACTTTTATTTAACAATAAAACAGCCCAAGGAGGGAGGGGCTCTCAGAGCCTTGGAGCAGTAACCGAATGGGGCAGTACTTTCTGAAACCCCCTTTCAACTATTCTCAAACGCAGAAAGAGGTGCAATTTAATTGATATTCAGGTCAAGGGGGAGACCCACGCGGGCAGAGATGTTAAATACGTGTTCAGGCTGTGATATGAAGGCCCTCTCAGCGCGAACTACAAATTGCCAGCAGCGTGAACTTGTGGCGGCCCGTGCCCTGGGAGGCTTCGGCGCCATTCACCCACTGCAGCTGCACAAGGTTGGGACTGCCACAACACAGTGATTTCTTTTACACTTTTCTAAAGGGAAATTTGAAAGGTGAGATATTTAACACTGCTGCGGAAGAAACGAGTGTGTAAACATGTATTAGCTGCAAAGTTCAAACCATGCGCTGTTTTTTTTCTATCATCTATCGGCTTCATAGGCGTCGCTGCCTCGCTCAACGTGGTCCAAATCACCAGATGCTCTATGTCAGGGATTGCGGGAGGTAGGACTCAGACGCAGAGTTAAAAATCAAAAGGGACTTTAATTGTCAAAAAGGTTAAAGCAAAAGGCCAAGGGGCAAAACGGGAGACAGGAACTGCGAACGACGAGAGACAAGGACATGCGTGGCGAAAGACAATGACGCGACAAGAGACAACAGACACACACGGCTTAAATACACAAGGGAGGTTCAGGTGATTGGACACAGGTGGAAACTATTAGACAATCACAGGGGATGACATGACAAGGCAGGAAGTGAAGTTACCCGGGGACACGAGTGGCAGAAAACTACAAAATATAACATGAAGTAAACCACACCGTGACACTCTACCTATCTATCTAGCATTGCGTATTTTCAGTTATTTGAGTTAGGCTCCGCTGCTATGCTGGTCAGTAGCTAATTGGGATGGAATTTCAGTTCTGAAGAATAAAATCCTTGCAGTCAAATAAGACCATCTGGATCAAATGATATCCACCTTGCGACCCAATTTCAAACCTAAACAAAGACTTGTGACACACTTCACTCCTTGATCACTTTGTCTGTCAAATTGCAGCTGGTAATTGTGGCTCTGGCCATTTGTGTGGCTGTGATCGGGGCGTTTAGTTGTAACTGGCAGATCGGTACCTTGGGAAGCAACGTTGGTCCAGACAGAGTAGAATGTCAGCCAGCCGGCTGTGTTCCTTCGTCTTTGTGGCGGCAGCGTTCTGCACCAGAGCTCCGGCTGAAACCAAATAAAACCACGAATAACTTTACGGAAATCAAATGAAGACAGAAGAGAACGGATTTTAGGGATTATAATTAGCATTATATAACTATATCGTGATATTTTTTAGGATCTATTGTATAAGGATACAATACAAATCATTTTTATATGACTTTTTTATTATACAATGCAATTATTTTTTTATGGCATACCGTACTTGCCTTTCTTAATGACATTTTTATGACACACTATGTTATGAAATATGTATGGCATACAATACGTGACACAATAATCAGCTTTAGGTGTTCTGAACTAATAGACATGAGACAGCAATATTCATTCCTATTATTTCATGATTTTTCCATAAGTTCATAAAGAAAAACACAAATGAAAAATATTTTCTTCTCGCTGGTGAAGAGGAAGAATTCTTGTCACTCATACTTTCTGATGTGTAATTTCAAAGTTAAAGCACTTTAAAGTATCTAAATATCTATGCAGCCTGTCTCTGCTTGCCAGTTTAAGAATGAGTGGAGCGCTGGGAGCGCGTATGTCACCCGGCCAGTTATAGTATCACCAAGCTAATGTTGATGTGAATGACTGGTGCCAGTCTCAAGCTGGGGACATTGTGATGGTGGACTCCGTGACTGGCTCTAAATTAAGCAAACTGCAATGTAACTTAATAAATGTTACACACTGTTTGTAGAGTGTGAGCAGTGCAGAGATCTGCCAATGAACTCACTTTCCTCGTGACATCGACGAGTCAAAGCGCTGCTGTGTAAAGTCTGCCCGGATGTTTTTTCCTGTGAAATACTTTTTATTGAGTTAAGTTAAGTCTCGCTGTACTTTTCACACTTTCTCTGACAGGGAATCTTAGTATTGCAAGCAGTAATGAAGTTCAGCCAAATTAATATTACCACACTGTAAAAGTAGTGCATTTAAGTGTTCAAGGAATTAAAAACACATTGTACATTAATATACTTAACATTTATTCAAGGATGAGCTGTTGATATAGGTGGTTTAATAAATGGAAAAGCATCGTATTTGAATTGTTATATTTGGTCTTATGTGTCGATCTGCAGCCTAACCAGAAACATTTCTCTGTGAGGTAAATGTTTAACTCCGTGGATGTAGAAGAACACAGTAAGTAGTAGTATGGGAGTCACCAGATGTCATACAATACAATATCATCACTTCGAATCATATTTATTTTTCATTTTATTATTACAAGCACACCAACACAGTCACTCAACCTGTCATAACCTGACAAATATAACTGTTACTGTGGCAGTAGTCCAACTTTCCTGGATGCAAACGTTGGGAGTTCCGTGTCTGGCTCTGGTTTGGACATTAGGCCCAATCCCAATCCGCCGTAAACCCTAAACCCTGAGCCCTCAGGGACTTAACTGACGTCACCTGGTAAGTGGTTGAGTGTTATTCTTTGAGGCCATTAAATTGTGTGACTATGAATGGGACAGCACTTTCCTGCCACATGTCACGTCACCCAGACGATGTCAAAATGATTTACAATTGAGGGTATTTATTTTATACGTTTTACTGTGATTTGAACATCTTTCATAATATGAGATGTCATTTTAAGAAAATGTATTACTTTTTTTGGTCAAAAATGTTTAATCTATGAATAGATGAATAAATATTGTCTGATTTCATGTGGGTTTTTTTTCCTCTGTCTTCAGTGATGTTTTAAATGTATACATTCTATTATGACAGTCTGAACACACGTGTGTCGTCGTCTTGGTTTACCTTTTTTACACATCCATGCGTTCACTTGCTATCTGGTTTTGGATTCACATTGCAATGACGTAATCAGCATCCCTTGCTGATTTACAGAAAGGGTTCATAAAGGGCCCAGAACGTGGGCCCGAGAGCCCTCAGACACTCAATGATTTGACAATGGGACAGAACTAAAGCCTTACAGAGTTAGCGCGCCTCAAAGTCTGTGTGAGTAAGGGTGCAGTTTGAGATTTGGCAAATAGCCTCCATTCCTCAGTGAGATGACGTGCCGCCACATAGGACTCCCACTACTTTTTGCTGTCCTCGGCGATTCCTCGAGTTTAATCTCCTCTTCTCTGTAGAGCTTGGGCTCAGAAGACTTTGGTTTTTCAGCTGACTTAACAGCTGTTATTGGTTATTGTTATTGCTGGATGGTGGCACTCATGTTCGTAGTATTACCACACGACACTGATTGTAAAATGCATGTGTCATATCCATGTTTTGACCCTTTCTTCTTTAAAAATCCAGAATAAGTACAGACATCTAATTGAAAAGTGGTGTCTTATGATGTCTCTATGATGGCAGTAGGCCTCTGCTGACCTCACCACAAAACCACTTAGCCCCATCTACTGCAGTGGTTCTCAAATGGATTTTTTTTTTTTACGTGAGTATCCATTCAAAAATCCTTTTAGTCATTTAATACATTTACATTAGTGAATGTAATACATGCATGATTCAATGATGAGTTATTCAATAAGCAAAAATTCCTATATTGAATTTTTTTATTTAGTACGCTTTTCCATTTCATTGTCCCAAAAATCCAGTTTCCCCCATACCAGGATGCTTTGACCCCACCTGGCACACCATCACCTGTTAATCACTGGTGCTTTGAAAGCTCAAAGGAGTCGTGGTTGAAGCGTAGCCGCACTGCTGCTGAAAACACGTCCACGAGGTGCATCCCGCCAACAGTTAAAGAAATCAGACACTGATGGCACAGCGCTGTGTATAACATCTTTTTTTTCGACCAATACTGCACATTTTTTAAATTCTATGCTGTGTTGATTTTATACCCCACACCGTCGTAAGCAGTATACATTTGATTTGTATATAATCTAAGTACTGGCGCATTCTGTCAGTTATTTTGAGGTAAAAAAACGAACTAATCTGTTTCCTATGTAAGCCTCGTAATGCATTGGCTTCTGGATTCCCTCTCGGTCTGCCCGGGGTTTGACCTTGAGTAACTGTGACAATGAACACGGCAGGTTTTTCTTATTTGAGCCAGCTCTTTTGTGCTAGCCACATCAAATGTAGCCAAAGCAAATGTTAGTCTGATGACTAATATTTGCTTGCCCGCCATTATTATTTTTTGCTTCCAATAATATGAAGGCAAATCACTGTCAAAATTCGAGAGCGCAAATCAGGTTGAGGCGTGCGCGTAAATCAAACATTCATGAGCAATGCGATGGTAAATAATGGTTGTAGCTGGTTGTCATCTACGGTCCACTACGGTTACAGAGAGGTGTCTGTGTTTGTGTTTCGACAACGTTTTATCTCATAATTTCGACTTTCTATCCCCTTTCTTTAGTGCGGAAATGGGCTTCTATAGTTGTGTGAATGCATCGCTCCACCCAATCCAAAGACGGGGTTTGTAACCAATTAGATAGAGATACCATGGTGACTGGCTCCGCCCCCTTACTGTCAAAAAGACAAACAACAGCGAGCGCGTATAAAACACCTTCGAGCGCGACCAGAGATTAACCTCGCGAGCGAGGAGGTTCACATTCCGCGAGCGAGCAAATATCTCGCGACGGACGCGCATCAACCTGATTTGCCGCCATACATGTGTGTGCTGTAAGCAGTAGCGCGTGCTAACGAACGGCCGTTAACTAGCAGACCAGCACGTTAACGTTCATTAGAATAAAGCTGTACGCAAGAGGCAGTGGGTCAGAATAGTGACTCGTCGTTGTGGATGTACAATTGCAACTAAAGTGCAAAAGAACTCTTTAAGTATCAATTTGGTCGAATGTCTGAGACGCCGCACTACACTCGCTTTAAAATGGCGGTTGCTCCGCCTCTGCCTCCGCTCTCAGAGGACTCAACTCTCAGCAGGCATTAGTTATGTCATTATCCGTATTGAAAGGAGTTTGTTAGCTAAAGCCCGCAAAGGCTAACCATCAAATCATCAAACCAGAGGCTGTGTGTGCTTCCTAATAACCACCATTTCCATAAAATTCAGAATGCCGGATAAATAATTAGTAACTTTGTTTCTCGACTGCACTATGCAAACAATGCCGGATGTTCTACTGCATTACATTAAAATGATGAATCCCCCTTTATTTCAACACAAATGAACTTTTAACAACACAAAATAAAACCATATGTGTGTGGTGAGGCGCAAGACACCTACCGATGCTGGTAATTGAACGGGACACAGCGGGGGGGGGGGGGGCGACAGGTCGATCGCCAAGGCAGCGCCGGCAGGTCGCGTCAGCCTGCCGCTGGTATACAAATCACGGCGGGTCGCCACGCATGCGCAGTAGACCGCGGGAGCTTACGTAAAACTTACTAACGGACACATTTACTTTCATACGAAAGCAACCCGGCTTGACTCCAACCAGCGCAAGTCCTCCGCGTACAGGATGTATGGAATGGTTCTTCTAACAGGCAGCTCGTTGTTTTGCGTTTACGGTGTTTGCTCCTACTCGTTATTAGGTCGCCTCGACTCGATTGAAATGTCTCTGGCAAGACGAGAAAGTGCGCGCACCCATTGAATGGAGCCTATTAGTGGGTGTATGTCTGTATGCGCAGGCTATTGTGATGCTCATGAATATATCGTTTAAAGGACTTGTGCGTCTGTCTCAGCTGTCCTCCCCTTGCATCTTTTGGCTCCTCAATTTGGATGCTGTTAGAAAAGCTGTTCAAACCTCTAATTAACTGTCCATCAGTATCATGGCTCGTATTAAACTGCCACGGTCTCTACTCCATAATCATCCCAGCATTTGGCCCCGTGCCCCCCCCTCAAGTCAATAGAAATAATGAGCAAAATTAGGGGATGCCGACAATAACAATAATGAATGCCCAATAAACGTTTACACTCCCAAACAGGGCTACAACGTTTCTAGAAAGGCAAACTCTCACACACACACACACACACACACACACACACACACACACACACACACACACACACACAGCGATTCAGAGAATAACTCGTGGCCTGGTATTATTGTTTTTTTTAAACCTGGGTGAAACATCCAATGGCGCTCCCAATTATATCAGATGATGCCGTAAGGTGTCAGGACCAAACATTCAGTCAGCCCATCAGGTGTCACAGCGAGTCGCCGGGGGCTCAGACTTGATGACAAGGATCCCGATTAGCTGCTGTCTCAGTGAGGAGGAAGGTGCGTTGAAGGGAAAGTTTGCCCCCATCCATTTGCTCAGGATGCAGGAGCGAAGGAAGGAGAGGTGAGACAACCCCAAAGCTGCCTTATGGTTTAGCTCCTCCACTCAGCTCGGCTTCCTCATGCCAGTTTATTTGCTTTATACCACAGGAACCCAAATAGATGTATAGCTGCCTTGCTGCTATAAAAGTATGTGTTCATTTTGGGATTTCTGTGTATTTCTTATTTCGGGTGCAGACATTTTCACTCAAACTGCTTGTTGTTTGGAATCTTTTGCTTGTTTTTGTTACTGGTACACTCTGTCTTAACTTTTAAGAACCTTAATTCCAAACTTTTGAAAAGTAAGATTGTAAAAGTAAATGTACTCAATTACTGTACTTAAGTACAACTTCAAGGTTCTCAAGACTTTATCACGATTAGGAGAGGATTGTAGTTTCAATCCACTAGTCTTCATAGTTCATTAATCATATAGAATGACATATAAAATTAAACAAATCAAATATTCTGTTCAGAGTCCAGATATTAAATAAAGTCAGTGTTGGTGAATTTCATTTCTTTGTTCTTTCCTCATCATCCCGGGACCCCTCAGAAGTGAGTTGGAGGTGCCTGAAGCTAGCTCCTCCTCCCCAATAATACAACTTTTCCTTATAGTTTATCAATCGGCAGCATGAGTTGTGGCTGGGAGCCAAACTCAAGACCACCGCGCAGCATGTTCAAAACTGAGGATTTTGATTTACGAGCTATTTATGTTTAAAAAAAAACATTCAAAACCACACACAAACAAGGTAATAAATCACTTAAAATTGTCTGCAATGTCGATAATAACGCTATTTATGATATTGATCCATCCATCCATTGTCAAACCGTTTATCCTGCACACAGGGTCGCGGGGGGGCTGGAGTCCATCCCAGCCAACTTCGGGCGAGAGACGGGGTTCATCCTGGACTGGTCGCCAGCCAATCACAGGGCTAACACAGAGACACACAACCATTCACACTCATATCCATACACTTACAGTCAATTTAAAGTCCCCAATCAACCTGATCCCCAGAGCATGTCTTTGGACTGTGGGAGGAAGCCGGAGAACCCGGAGAGAACCCACGCAGACACGGGGAGAACATGCAGACTCCACACAGAAAGTCAAACCCAGGACCTTCTTGCTGTGAGGGGACGGTGCTAACCACCACGCCACCGTGCCGCCCTATGATATTGATGTCACAGCAAATAAAGGAGGAATCCATATCAGGCAAAACATTTGTTTATTTGGCCTAAAAGGGCCATAAATAAAACTTTATACTCTCAATTTATTAACAAGCCACAAGAAGTCTGTGGCCGTCTACCACAGCACTTCAAAGCCCTCATTCTGGACACGAGACCCTTCTGAGACCCTCTGATGCATCGGAAGGCTCTCATCCTCACTTCAAAACAAAACGCGGTAATACTGTGCCAAACGCGAGGCGGGCGGGGAGCGGGTCTTTTTTTACGCAGATAAGGGGGCTTCAGAAAGGGCCTTGAGTGCGGTCTGGAAGCTTGAATCAAATAGCAACAACAACAATAATGAACTATGAAAAACCCTCAAACGTGTTTTCTTATTAAAAAAATGATAAAAAGCTGAAGCAGAGTGTGCTTGGCTTTCAACCACTGCAGGATTGCCACGATTTGTTCTTTTTTTTTTTTAAGTTTTCTTTTTTTACATCTCCTCACTTTTCTTGATTCCCTCCCAAACAGTCCGCCCTCTTTCCTGTTATGTTTTGCTTCGGAATAAAAAATGAAATGATATTTCTAATGGTAAAATCTATAGCAGCAGAAGAGCAACAGAGGAGTAACAGCTAGAAGCGAGAGACGCCTGGAGTTAGAAGGAAGGCATGGGGTAAGAGAATTCCATGGATGCCAGCCGGGGTCGGATGTCCCTCCTTCTGGAGCTCATCTCCCGTTGGAGGGCACCCTGCCCACGGAGGCCATGACGCGGCTGAACCGCTCGCTCAGCTCCAGCGTGGAGTAGGTGGGCAGCTTGGGAGGGTCGTGGAAGCTCTTGATCTCAGCAGAGCAGTCCAGCAGCTTGGGGAGGAAGTCAGTCAGCTTCTCCTGGAGGTTGGCTGCAGGAGGAGGAAACACAGAGGCAAAGGGATGAGGAACTGGATGGGCCTCGCAACACACAAGAGGTGAATGTGTAAATTCCTTAAGGCAGAAATCACAGGGTAAATATTTTCCATGTGATGTCACATGTTCCATAACAGAAACAGATTGTGGAGCGAACGATAATACTCCGCTCTTTCCTGAACACGGGCCAGGAACTGTAGAGAGAGCGATCCTGGAACACCAGATAAGAGCGGAATCCTTCTCACTGCCGTTTATTCTACAAAGAAAGACTTGCCTCCCGGAGAGATTTCTCTGGCGATCTGACAGAACATCTTTTGTTGTATGTGGGGCGGCAACAACTTCAGCTTAAATGAATTCATATGTTCGGCCTTCTATTTATTGACGTATTGTTACTCGTTTCATTTGACCAACGGGTCAAGTTCAAGATATCAAGTGAAATCAAGAATAAATGATCATGTAATTACTTTAGTGTTGCACATTACATCATTTGGATTTAATTCACTGGCTTCTCAGTCAGTAAATATGGTACGAGAAACTGAACTTTACCATCCAATAATGTAACAGTGGAGGTGTTTCAGCAGCAAAATTATGTAGTAAGTAAATAGCTGCCTTTCAGCACAAAATAGTTGTAGCCACCAAACGTTGTGTGTCTCATTTCAGTAGTCCCCGTACGTGTAAACAGCATTGGGTCTCCTTGCAAGATCTCCCAGCTTCTCAAGCTCGCACTGCCCAAAATTGATGATCTGTGGTGTTTCCGGCCTTTTTCCGGCGATTGCCACCGAGCGAAAAGCTAAAAGGTCAACGGTCGCGCAAAATCTAACCTGTTACTTTGAGTGTGCAGTGATATGAAACACTTGGGTCAATGTGAACAGCAACTGTACATTATCGCTCAATAAAGCAGCCCCCATGACTCACTCTCTACCAATCAGAATGCTGGATTTTATCTACCCGAATCATAATGATCATTAAATGACTTGCTGATGAATTAACTGTTTGCTGACTTGTCTTGTAATTGTAGCATCTCTAGTTTATAACACATGATTAGCAGGTATAACAGTTTAGTCATGTATTCATCAATAACTAATCTTCTCTGGTGAATGATATGTGGAGGCTGATGTATAAACCGATGAGGATGAGAATATAGTAAACCACTGGTCTAATTGCACAAATACTTGCATGCTTACTTGTTGAGAAATACTGTACATTATCCAGCGCTTAAAGTGTCCTCACAGTTAATGTGTGAGTCCTAAACCATTTATTAAATATAAATTCTAAATTGGGGAACTTAAAGCAAACATGTCATGTAATCTCTGGGACTAGGGCTTCATTGAAGCTCTGAAACCATCCAAGCAACATTTAGCTCTTCAGATTTCCCAGGACGACTGGAACCTTCTGCCCGACCTCAAAGCCTTTTAGAGCCTTTTGGACCCTTTTAACCGAGCCGTGACCCATGATTCTGATCATCTCTGACGCAGATAAAGGGAATGTCCTAGTAACCTAGGACCTCAAATCTACAGAAATAAATAGGAAATCTTTCTTTCTCTCACGTTCCATCTCTTGGCCCAGGTAGGAGCACCAGCGGTTCCTCATGTCCTCCACTGCCAGCAGGTCCCTCTCAGCATCATGGATCAGCAGCAGAGGTATGCAGGGCACCACCAGGTCGTTCATGATGCCGATGCCCGTGGTCACCTCCGGCTCCTCCCCTGACTCAAACATGGCAGCTGCCTGCTCGTTCACTTTCTGTGGGGAGGAGGGGGAGGGCACAGAGGTTACTGAGACAAAAGTGAAATACATTCATTCCCATATTACTCTAAATCAAGGAACAATAGAACAACCCACAGGGCACGTCCAGTTAGGAACAACAAAGTGGGCCGAGCTTCAGGTGCAGGACGAGCACGTCGCCTGCTGGATGCTGTGCAGGCCAACGTGACATCTGAACTCCTATCCACTTCCTTGGTTCTAGACAACGCTGTGAGGAGCCAAGCAATCGGCCGCCCACCCCGCAAACACGCCCCCACCCTGCCACAGGGCCTCGTGATTTCTCTAAAATATAGCTTTTTAGCGAGACACCCAGCCTGTTAATGCTTATGGCTTTTAGCGTACTTTGATTTAGGGGATAATGGTGCGCCGTGTTTCAGAACTGCAGCCACGCACAGGGAAGCACCCGGCAGGTTGAAAACCTCTGATCTGGACTCTGAAGACACGAAGATAAACAAAGAATAAGACGATGGTCGTTAATGGGACAGAACATCCTCCTGCCGATTGGAACCGAAAGTCCTGGGGCTTCTGCAACCATGTGGATTCAAGCTTTTCTTTTACCCCCTTACTGTCACACACAAACTTCCTGACCTCCTTTCTGAGAAAACTAGCTTTTTATTTTTCCATTTATGCGAGCCAGTTTGGAACCAGGGACTGCAGGGCTGGATTGAAAAAAAGCACATTAACTGTGTCAATGTTAACAGTGTTTTCAATTAAAACAAGAGCTCGAGGTAAAGAGCTGAGCGGACGGAGCCAGAGGTTCTGGCCAGAGATCTGACACGACCGACCGGGGCTCAGTTCTGAGGTTAGCCGAGGACACGTTGCGTCTCATGGTAATGTGTTTACACTCGCTGCTCTCCTGCTTCCTATTCCCACTGCAATGATTACATTATGAGCACAATGCCGGTGTAAGGTTACTGAGTGCACCGCCGAGGACCAGTGCGAGGCCCATCTGACCAAAATACTCTCGCCCTAACCAATAACACACAGAGCCCAGCCCGCAGCAATGGGGGGGGGGGGTTGAAATGAAAAGGGCACGCACAAAAATCGCAGAAAGGATTTTCATCTGGCAGTATTGGATGAACAAAAATAAGAAAAGTAGAATCTTTTGTGGGCTGCCAAGGCAATATCTCAGCGAGAGCAAATTTGATTACCGCCACAGCTCGGTACTGGAGGAGAAATGTCTGTGTTGCCGAGTCACTAGCAGGGGAAAGTCTGAAACGGGGGCGTCGCAGATCACAGGGACACGAAGGTAACTCCCACTGCGTCAATCGCTCTACTCATTCCAACAGAACACCCGCGTGGCCTCACCAGCAAACACTCTCGACGGTAATGACCGAGCAGCTCGTCGTCGTGCCCTCTGTACTGGCCTTTAGACAGAAGCTCCTTGTTGTACTGGTATGAGTAAATCAGATGCATCAGAGCCTCCGTGTAGCTGTGGGAAGAGAAGATGAACAGATGAGACACTGAGATAAAACAGTATCAAAGGTGTACTGAGGACTGGAGAAACCCGGTGAACTCCCTGCACTAGTAATAAGCTGGGGAGCTGCCGCCCCCTGCAGGGGACAACATTTAACGGCCACCCAGGGAAATTAACTGAAGCCAACATTAAACCTGCAAGCTAAAACTTTAACAAAAACAGTTAAACATCTCCGCTACTGGATTTCAGGAGAAGCCATACTTTGTCTTCTGAAAGAGCTCCAGGCCGGTCATCATGAGGATTGTTGTCTCGCGGAAATTCTGGTAAGCCTGATGCCACATCTGCCGAAGATAAAGATAGAGAGAGATTAGTGGATGCGAACACCGAAAAATCGACCTGGAACAAATACTGGCACTTTTGGCCATTTCTGTCACAGCAAAGAACAAAGAACAATACTGCCTTAAATCCTACAGTAGATGAATAAAGACACCGCTGCTGACCTCGTATTCATCCATGTTGACCTCCTCGGGTTTGATTAGGTCCAGTTTGGCACGTGCCACACTCATAATGCTCTTACATCTGTGGGGAAGGGAAGGCAGAGGAGCCGGCGTTAGTGACGAGATGATGAGCTACTCCAGGAGA